TAATTTTTGAATAACAACACGTGGCTGAGGTGTCACCGAAGTGTCAGCTGAGGTGCTACGTGTTCTGGACATGATGCCGAGGTAATATCGGCGAGGCCGAGGTTATCTGCGAGAATATCGGAATCCGGGATAAGTAGATAAAGGACAAAAGTCCTAAATTGGGAGAGGACTTCAGTTTGGGTAAAGATAAGACTCTTAGAGAGTTTATCCCAATCCTACTGGGAATCCAAAATTTGCAGTAATCCTAAGTCTATTAAAGATAGGCTTCTATTGGGATTAGGTTTGTGTTGACTATAAAAGAGAGGCACCCCATGTGTCTAAGGTATGCTTTTTGTATTCGGAATAGTAAGTTAAGCACTTTTTCTATCTTTGAGAGATAACTGACTTCATCGTCGGAGTGCCCCCGGGTGGACGAACCACCGTCGAAATCTCTTCTTTTTGTGACAGGTTGTTCGGGCTTAATCTATTCTGTCAGTGTTTCCCCAACTGAGTTCCAGTTTGGCAGTGTGGTCAGAAATTAACTCACACAATTTGGCGGCGTCTGTAAGAAAGAAAAGAGAATAAATGGCCAACAACGGACAGAAAGAGAAGGTTGGGGACGACACTCCTGCCGGGAGTGGGAAACATATTGACCTTGACGTCGAAGAAGACAACTGCAGCAAAGAGACTTACAATAAAAATCACGGAGGAAAGGACGTCGGCCAGGAGGGCAACGTACCAAAAAAAATGAACCGAAGTGGGTATTATAATGAGGATGACCTCTAGGTATGGAAAGAAAGATGCCTGAGGAAAGACGATGAGGTAAAGGCTATGGCGAATAAATTGACAGACCTACAAACGGTGGTCAATTTCATGATGCAGAACAACGTCATGCAGCCACCGTTCCCGCTACAAGATACGCTGATTCCAATAACAAAAAAAGATGTCCAGAAAGGAGGGCAGAAAGCGGTTCCTACAGTCCCCCAGCACGACGGGACCAAGGGACATTCTCACCGGCCTTCGCGGGAGGTCGGGCATAGAGAATCAAGGAAACGGGAATCCCAGAAGACGCGACGAACCAGGGAAGACCGTACCAAAGAACATCGGGATGTTCAAGGGAAGGAACTCTGTTTCGACACGACCTATGGAGGGAAGTCCAAAAGGACTCACAATGACACAGGCAGTAGCGCACCGAAAAGGCTGAAATCCGGAGATAGCCGAGCTCCTAGGCGGACCAAAGAGGACTTGAGGGATTACCTCCAGAAGAAGCAACAAAATGCCGAGGTAACCTCCCCGGTTAAGCCGAGAACACCATTCTCGGTAGAGCTGGACAAATTTAAGGCTCCGAAAAGGTTCAGTATGCCAAGGTTCCAGATATACGACGGTAAGTCGGACCTCAACTTTCACGTCGGTTTGTACCTGAACTCGATGGCATTGTACACTGGGAATGAGCCGTTACTTTGCAAGGTGTTTCCCTCATCCTTCGGGGAAATTGCATCGGACTGGTTTCACAAGTTGCCGAAAGGAACTGTGAAAACTTGGGAAGGCCTGGCCGAGATGTTTGTGGCCAGGTTCGTGACAAACAAACTATAGCCATTGAGGGTAGATGCCCTGATGGCTCTAAAAATTGGCGAGGACGAAAGCCTGAGGGCCTATACCAAAAGGTATTATAAGGTATTCAACCGAATACCATAATGCAACCAAGAGGTGGTCGTCGTATCGTTTAAGAACGACCTGAAAGATGATTGCATGCTTCGAAAATCACTGGCAAAGACATTGCCAAAAAGCATGGAGGAACTTATGGCTAGGATAGAAAAGTATGCCAGGGCCGAGAGGACACGCCGGGGACAAAGGTGCCGAAATTAGAGAAGAAAAAAGGCTCGCCGAAGCGAGGCCGAGGTGATGGTAGATACAACAATCAAGAGACAGGGTTAAGAGCTGCGTAAGTAGTCACAACCATATTTTGAATCCCAATTTACGAAGTCTTGGAGAAAATCCGAAATCAACCTTATTACAGAGCACCAGTAAGGGCCCCTAGTGAATTTGTGGGAAGAAGCCTTGGCAAGCACTGTACTTACCACAATGAAGCTGGACATCTGACTCAAGGGTGCAGAGCCCTGAAGACACATTTGGAAGAGCTGGTAAGGCAAGACCATTTAAGGGACTTTATAGACGAGGCCAGGACCAAGGAAGAGCAAGCAAGACTACCTCAGGTACCGGCGGCACCGCCTCCTGCAGCATTACAACCGCAGGCAAGCGGACCTCGGGTGATTAATATGATTCACTCAAAGGTCAATGAGAATGAAATACGTGGGGAGACACAGAAGGTAAAACATTTACAACATGTGTACCAGGTCAGATGAAAAAGACTTAGAGCAGACGATTGCCAAGGACTAGTGGTGTCCTTTACTGAAGCCGACCGAGAGATGGTGCAGCATCCACACAACGATGCCATGGTAGTATCCCTCCAGATTGGAGAATGCCAAATGAAGCGCATCTTAATTGACCAAGGCAGCTCTTGTGACATCATGTATGTCAGATGTTACAAGGAGCTTGGCCTTCACCAAGACGATCTGGAGCAGTCCAATGGCCCAATGGTTGGGTACAATGGAACGTCGACGTGGCCCCTGGGAGCAGCAAGTTTAGAGCTGCAGGCTGGCACCAAGAAGGTGAAAACTGAGTTCACCATAATTGACACCCCCTCCTCTTACAATGCTATCTTGGGAAGGCCATGGATGCATGTAATGGGGGCTGTACCCTCAACATTGCACCAACTGTTGCGGTTCCCAATAGAGCATGGAATAGAGGAGGTTAGAGGAGACCAGGTACAGGCAAAGAATTGCTCCATGACAGCAATGAAATCCACCTGCAATGTACGAAAAGTAGAATCAGCAGAGATTGAGGATGAGGACATGGAGGTCCTAGAGGACGTTGACAAAGAGCCAACCGAGAAGAGTGATGAAGCATTGAAGAAGATCCTTGTCCAGCAAGGGGATGAGGAGCACTTCTTCCTTCTCGACTCGGGCTTAGCCGAGGAAGAGAAAAAGGAGCTAGAGGTATTTCTGAGAGCAAACCTTGAGGTGTTTGCATGGACACCATACGTGATGCCAGTCATTGATCCCGAGGTCACTTGCCACAGACTGAATGTAGACAGTAAGCTAATCAAGAGCTTCTGTGCAAAGTTCAAAATCAAGAATTATTTTTCTACCCCAAGTTTTCTTCAAAGCAATGGACAAGCAGAAGCATCCAACAAAGTTATCTTGGACGGGATTAAGAAGAGGCTGTAAGCAGCAAAGGGAAAGTGGGTGGATGAATTGCCCAGTGTACTCTGGGTATATCGAACTATGCCGAGAAGATCAGTTGAGGAATCCCCATTTGCCATAGCTTATGGCATAAAAGCAGTCATTCCCTTGGAGGTCGGCATCCTAGGGATCAGAACCCAGGGAGTGGAGAATAGAACTAATGATGTATTTATAGCCCAAGATCTAGATTTGCTAGAAGAAAGAAGGAAGAAAGCAGCAATTCAGCTGGGGTCATACCACCAGCAGCTTGCCAGGGCTTATAACAAGAAGGTGAACTCGTGAGAGTTCTAAGCTGGTGACCTCGTCCTGACAAGGGTCGTCGGCAACAAGAAGGATCCCAGAGAAGGCAAGCTTGGCTCGAATTGGGAGGGACCCTATAGAATCATCTCGGTCTTGGGCAACGGGGCATATCGGCTTAAGGACAGTGAAGGCAAAGAGTTGCCAAGACCATGGAATACTTGCAATTTGAAGTTTTTCAATCATTAGATTTTCTTGTTTTTTCAACTCTTTTTCGTTTTGTTATTAGCCGAAGTAATAATAAAGTTTTAGCTTGATTTTTTCTGTGCAATATGACTAATAAGATACTTGATGATGTTTTTGATAGAAACATGACGAATAACTTAGACTTATTATATGGCAGAAGCTCCTACTTGCATATAATAGAGTTGAACTAAGTTGAATTAACCTGGACTTGTCATATCGGCAGAGTCAAACACAGACTGGAACTCAATATCTGCCAATCAGATTAACAAAGGGACCAAGGTTGGGAACCCTAGCCAGTCTTTGTTAACAATATTTTCATATGCTTAATGTGAACCCAAGTGAAACTTAGGTTCACACTAAGGGGCAGACAGTTGGAGAATGATGCTTGGGAGTTGGAATTTTCAAGCCCAAGATCGGTTTAACACTTACCGAGGGCATGTTTAACACTTGTTAAAATTTTAAGAAAAATTTACAAGTTGAAGTTAAACTGTCATGTTTAACACTTGTTGAAATTTAAGAAAAATTTACAAGTTGAAGTTAAACTGAGGACATGTTTAACACTTGTTGAAATTTTAAGAAAAATTTACAAGTTAAAGTTAAACTGAGGGCATATTTAACACTTGTTGAAATTTTAAAAAAAAATTTACAAGTTGAAGTTAAACTAACACTTGTTGAAATTTTAGAAAAATTTACAAGTTGAAGTTAAACTGAGGACATGTTTAACACTTGTTGAAATTTTAAGAAAAATTTACAAGTTGAAGTTAAACTGAGGTCATGTTTAAACACTTGTTGAAATTTTAAGAAAAATTTACAAGTTAAAGTTAAATCGAGGTCATGTTCAAACACCTGTTGAAATTTTAAGAAAAATTTACAAGTTGAAGTTAAACCGAGGTTATGTTAAAGGAAGTTGGTTTAAAGTGTTAGGCCAAAGCCGAGATGAAACGTTAGTGGGTGTAACCGAGGTGTTATACCCCAAAGAGATTGCACAGTTAAGGTGTATGTTGATATTTGCATTCAGATAAGGAAGTTCAAATACAAAAAGAAACTTCGGCCTGACATTAAAAAGTAATTGTTCAGATTGCAAAGGTGGCATGTCGGCCAAATTAAAGCTTACACTATTTTAAAAAGAAAGAAAATAGTACAAGGTACAGAAAAAAAGAGAAAAACATCAAACTAAGACTCTTCGGCGTCTCTAGCTGGTTGGGTCTGGAGTTCAGAAGACAGCTGAGAAGACATCTAGGCGGCCCTCTCAGCCGTGAGCTCCGCATCGATTTCTTGAAGAGTTTGGTCGAGGCTCTTGCCGGCAATAGGCGTGTCCGATGTTGCCTTCTCAGGAGTAGCGTCTTTGGAGACCTCGCCCTCCTCATCCTGAGACAAGTCCACGACTTGCTCATTCAGACTAGGGAACTGGGCCCCAACAGCTTCCTTGTTCTTTCTCACCAGAGTTTCCTCCTCAGACTCAGAATCGTTTTCAGATTGACTTGGAGTAGGGGGGAATGGCAGGGGGAGGTCATCAGTATTCTTGAGGGGGGAGTCCTCGAGGACATCAAGATTTTTGAGGGCAGCCATCCAACCAAGGGTGAAACCCTTGTTGCATGCCTGCTTCACTTGCTTTTTTGTAGTTTTCCTTGACGTCGGCTGCCCCCTCAGCATATGCCTTCTCATCAGTGGCCTTGATCTCGGCCTCCGTTGTGGCCAGGGCATGTTGAAGCTCCTTTTGGGCCTCAGCCATCTTGGCCTCGGCCTCTTTCTTTTCGGCCGTAAGGACCTTGGCAATGGCCTCTGTAGCGTCGATCTTTTTCTCGGCCTCGTCCTGAGCCTTCTTGGCCGCGTCGGCCTGATCTAACAAGGTCTTCATTTTTGCCTCGGCCTTTTTGATGGTCTTCTGTAAACCAGCAACCTCCCTAATCTTGTCGGCTAACTCCTTCCACATTTCAAAAGCTTGCATTGAGAAGGAGTGGGTGTGCTGGATCGCCTAAAAAAAAATTGGACAGAACAAAGTTAGTAGAAATTCTCTAAGTATAGAAAAATAGAGAAAGAAAAATACCAAGTGTAAGGAACTTACTTGAACGGAATGCTACAGCATCAAAGCGAAGTTTTTATACCCGCTCATCTCGGCGTTACGGTTGAGATCGTTGGGAAGGAGCAAAGCCGTAGAGAGGGCAACACCGACTTTGAGGTCAGTCGCACTGTTGCCGGCTTTGATCGACTTGTCCTCAATTGTAATGGGGGGAGCCCAGGGGGCATTGGACTTCATAGAGCCTGAAGCTGTTGCCGATTCAGACCTCGACCTTTTCGGCCGAGTTGATTGGGATGTGTAGACATCCCATTTTTGACCGTCCTTAAGACTTGGTAGTGCTTGTAGGTACATCCAGCCACAAGTTCGATCGCTTGTCGAGTGCTCGACTTTCGCGGCGGAACGTCACAGGTTTGAGCTTTCCAAACCCTATATCCTTTCTGCCCCATTTTTAGACCAGGTGGTGGTCATTTCTTCTTGATTTTCATAGGGCACTGCCGGCCATTGTTTGGCATTACCGGCCATGCACTTTCCCCTGCCTGCTACTGATGATGGCTGTCGACTATCAGTGAGCCATTGCCGGCCACAACTGATGGCCGGCAGAACACTTGTCTCAGCAGGTTTCACGCCAGATCTTTTGAGCCAGCTGATTTTCACTCATCTCCCCTCCATACACGTGTATGGAGGGATGAAGCTCTTGCCAAGCTTCTTGAACAAGCTTTCCATTGCCTCTCTTTTATAAAAGGGGAGGCTCCTCCTCCATTTCAGAGGTTCAGAAGATAGAGGTTTGAGTGATAGATATAGTCTTGTATCTATATCTCTCTTTTGCTTTGGTTTTGTGCCTTAAAAGTGTAGTTTTGTCTCACTTTTGTACACAAACACACACTCAAACACCTTGCTTGTGTTGCTGAGGCTTCTTGAGGTTGTTTTTGGTGTTCTTGGGCTGGTTTAAGCTCAAACAAGTGGCTAGAGTTGCAGTGGTAAAGAAAGTCTTCAAGGGTGAGTCTTTAACCTTTAGATCCCCCATTTTTGCTTAAGCTTTTATCCCTTCCTGCATACGTTTTTAAGCTGAACTCTTAACTGGAAAAAGTTTTTTTTTTTTGCATGCTTGAGAAGTTTTTTTAAGGTCACTTTTTCGTTTAGGGTGATCTCCCCCACTCTTAGGCCTTGTTAGCCCTTCTTTCGAGCCATCCCTTTAGGCTCTTGTTGAAGCCCTTGCATGACCTTTCCACCATTGAAATCCAGAGGATTTTCAGTGGTGGAAATGTAGTTTTGGAGTCCTAAATAGAAGAGGATCATCCCCCCTCCTTGTATTGTGTTTACTAGCTTCATATGCCTCATGTTTGAGCACCTTTGTTAGGCTTGTGTTGGCTATATCTTAGCTAGTATTTGTGGTTATTTTGCTGAGGCATGTCACTGTTTTTACTTGCCTTGGTCACTCCATGCATGGTTTATACACTTGTAGTGTAAATCACACAAACTAGTCTTGTATGCTTCATGAAGTAGCATGCCATTCTAGCCTTGTTTTCTTTCCATTTCAGTAGGTTTTTGGTGTTGTTTTAGCATGCCATGACTCTGTTTTGGGTGGGTTTGGTTGGCCCTTGCATGCCTCATGCACTTGTAGTACAATTTCATGAAATAGCCTAGTGTGTCTCATGCTTTAACATGTCATTCTAGCATGCTTTTGGCTTAACTTCAAGAAGCTTTTGCCCATGTTTTAACATACCTTAGCTCTGATTTTGGTTATTTTGGTCATGCATACCTTGCCTTGTATAGCTATGGTTCACTCTAGCTTGTTAGCTTTGTGCACCAAGTCTATTAGCATGCATTACTTGGACTAGTTGAATGATTTGGCATCATTTATTATGTGATTTCAGTCCATGTTCCATGATCATGCACTTGCATCTTTCACTTATTCAATGCGTTGGAGGGTTTGCCCCTTTATGCCTACGCTTGCGAGCTATCATTTCAATGTGTTTTGGGGCTTATTATGCCATGATATAACTCTGATTTTTGTTGCTTAATTCATCCCATGCTTGGTCCTAATAGGTGTAGTGTAATCCACCATATTTGCCTTGTATGCATTGTGCCTTATGCCCTTCATGTTAGCTTATTTTGGCTTCCTTCCTTACATGTTTTAGACTCATTTTGATATGTTCTAGGACTATTTTGGGTTGCCTTGATCACATGATTCATGATTTGCATAGTTGTAGTACAAGTGCTCTTGCTCGCTTCAAGCTTTGAGCACCGTAGCATGCTTCATTTGTGTTGTGTACATGATTTGGCATCATTCCTTACCCTATTTCAGTGCACTTGGTGTTGTTACACTTACATGTTTGTCACTCTTTGAGCACTCTTGAGGGTTGTGCTCTTAGGCCTCCTTGGTTGGCCAATGCATTGTGCATGCATACTTTATGTTTTGTGCCTTTATTTTATCACCAATGGCCACTGATTTGGGCATGACTGAGGTCTACCCCTTTGGTTTAAGTCCATTTAGCATGTTCACATGCATGTTGCTTGCATGCTTATCTTATTTAGCATTGTGTATGCCATGTTACATTGCATTGAGAATGCTATTTTACATTAAACATTGAGCATGCCATGTAGTTCATAGCATTGAGTATGCCATGATTGTTTGCATGTAGTTCATAGCATTGTGTATGCCATGTTGTTTGCATGCTTAGGTTACATCACATTGTGTATACTATGTTGTCCATTTGCATTGTGTATGCTAGTTGTTATTAGCATTGTGCATACCATTAGCCTTGTTAGATTGTTCATATTGCATTGCATGTTTGCGTGCTTAAGTCATATTGCATGTTTGCCATGCTTGTGTTACATTGTTGTTCGGATTAGGTATTAATTCGAGCACGAGAAACGAGGGACGTTTCATACTTCAAGTGATGAAATGTGTCTCAATTCTCTGTCGTTGACGTTCTTGATGACGCATGATAGAGTTTTAGGCTTTATATGTTTATTTGTGCATTCATTTTACATTGAATTTGCACAAGTTGGATCTTTGGCCATCATGCATCGAGATGAGTGATTGATGGTCTTGGATCCGATTATGCCTCTCCCTTGATGTTTTGAGGTGATATGGGGTGGCATAGTGCGCACATACCCTTGGAAGACCCTCCTTTTTCTTTGTTTTGTGCTCTACTGCAGCTTGGTGTCATAGTACACCAGTGGCCGGCAGCCTCTCATTGTTGGTCGGCACCCTCTTCATCCTTGGCCGGCAGAGTACATCCTTGGTCGGCAGTGGGGTCGGCAAAAGCCTTTCATGGTCGGCATGCCACTGGTGCACTCCCCAACATGTTTTTGGTAAGATCCAGCAGCTAGTTCTCAAGGACACCCTGCAGACAGAGCCTCTAGAGAGCATTCGAAGAGCTTTCGGGACGGGAATCGAGCATGCATCTTAAACTTCTTCAGGGCAGAGCTGAGGCAGCCTAGTTTACATATTTTAATGCTTACTTGTTAGTTAGTATTCAAATTTGTAATTAATTAATTAATTTGTCAATTAATTAAGTGTTGTAATAATTAGTTGTAGCTAGTTATTCAATTTGGTTATGTAATAATTTGTTTAATTAGCTTAACTAGTTAGCTAAATTCATTCGGATCCTCCATCGAGAGGCAATATGTTCTAATAAGTGTGCGTGTGTGTGATGCATGTCTTCCAACCCCACGTCTTTCTCTCTTTTACTTACCTGCTTTTGATGGTTAGTTTTAGGGCATGTTTCAATTAACATGCCTTATGCTTGCATGCGTGTATCATTCATTCGTATTGCATGCACCGAGCTCGGCGCATCATACTAATCGCATTGTATTTCAATTCCAAGTTGAATACATTTATCGAACTATTGCATTTCATATGCCATCTTAGAATAGCCGAGCCTATTTTAGATGCATTTTCACATACGTTGCATTAGCCATCTTAACATGAACTAGGGTCATGCATGATTTCTAACTAGTTCTCTGTTTTAGCTCGGAGTACACTGTGAGTGTTTATGCTTTAGCATCTTGCATAAATGCCAGTGTTGCCATGATAGCATATTTGCCATGAGACTAACTGCGTATGTGATATAACTGCCTGAATGCCTGTGGGTGAAGGTTGATTGCTTGAATTGGAACAATTCATTGAAATCCTCGATTTAGCCTACTTGCAAGTAGTAAACTTCAAACTGTTTTCAAACAAACAAATATGCAATGCTTTGTTCCAAATTAGGCGATCTAGTCTATACTTGTATGCTGTGCGCATCACGTAGTAAGATTAGCTAATTAACCGGAATAAGAGCACATGTGTTTTCAAAAATAAGATAGCATGCTTAGTACATGCGATCATTTGATCGGGCGAGCGGAGGTGCTCATTGCATGACCTTCCCCTCTCGTACCCAAGTTCCCGAGCCGAGGCAACTTTGGTGATGACGGACACGTGACCTTAGGCACGAGTCAGGCTTTCCTAAATTTTTCCTAAAACAAAATATTTAGGTGGCGACTCTGGATCTGGCAAAGCAGTCCATGTTTGGCACTTCTTTATAAAAATCAGTTTTTCAAAACGATTTGCCAGATTTGGACTCTTTGGTGATTTATCGGTCTAGCATTGCACTTCGTGAGATCAGATTCAGAACCGTGACATTTGAGTCTGAACTGTAGTAATAAGTCCAAATGAACAGAACGAGATTTTCCCACGACGTTCGGGCACGTCTACAGGATGGTTCGGCCTAGGCGGGCCTCTTCTTGGCAGTGGAGGGGGTCTTCTTACTCTCAGCCAATTTTGAAATAGGCAAGGTGTCCTCAGTGTCAATCTGAGTCACCGTTGCCTTGGGTTGAGCGTTCTTCAGTCTTTTGGGCTTTGACTTTGGTTGAGGTTGAGATTGTGCTGGTTGGGCGTTGACGGTGTCGAGGATGTCGGCTAGAAGATCTTCTACGACTGCTTTCTTGCGACCCATCTCGGCGGCAATTGCAGTTCGGCGTCGGCGTTGAGATGGTGGGATCAGTTATGGAGCCAAGGTAGATGGCTGCTCTGCTGGATTAGAGGTTGACCCCTGATCTGGCCGAAATGATGAAGTTGCAGGTGGAGTTGTGGCGGAAGGAGGAGACTTGCTCTTCTTCTTCGGGACGTCAGGCAGAACGGATTTGTAGGTTGGGATGAAGTTAAGCAGTAAAAGAGCTCTCCGCTGCTGAACTGGTAGATCCAACAGCTTCTTCAAGTCCTTGCTAGGGAAGAAGGACTTACGAAAGTCTTTTGGCGGCTGTGGAAGAGCTGCAAGAAAAACAGACGTTAGAACATACAGAAGGAACAAAGTATTAAAGACTTGAAAAATAAGTGAGTGTAACACTTGGTTCTTACCATTACCCTTTACGAATACTGTTCGGCTGAGAGGGTAAAGGTGAAGGTCGTCATCTGGAGCAAACTTCCAATTGCCCGAGACAATGAAGTAATCATCCCTGGCTTCCCTTGTTGGAGTCTGGGAGGTCGGCAACTAGTTTGTGTTCTATGGACCTGTTTGAGGTAGTAGATGTAGCCTTTTTCTAACTTAAGGTCATACATGGTATAGCAGTACTGGATGTCGGCAAGAGTAACCCTAGCGTTCTCTTTTTTGGCTAAGGCTATTATGCCATTGATAACTCAGTAAGAGTTGATAGCGAGTTGCATTGGGTTCAATTTGTAGTAATAGAGGACTTTTCGGAAAAGGATATCTAGTGGAAACCTAAGTCCACATTTTGTAAAGGCAACGACAGGGAAGGGCATGAGGTTTCCATCAGGCATAATGGAGTCGTCCTCGCCAGCCAACCTTAGGTGAACGTTGGCGGGGATGGAAAACTCTTACCTAAAGTATTCTAACTTAGTTGGGGTGTCTACCCTATGCCTCCACACACCCATGATGTCGGCTTGGGGAAAGGTACTGAATTTCAAAAGGGTGTGCTTTGTAAAGGTTTGAGGGACCTCGGCAAAACCTAAACGAATGTTGGGGTAAAGATTTTTTGGATCTAAAGTAAAGTTTGTTTCAGGTTTTTCCTAAAGGTTATGTGTTTTACGAAAAATCTCAAGCCTAGGTCTATGTAAGCAAAGGGTTGAAGGCAAGAATCTGGAAAGAACACAGAAAATAAAAACAAGAATGTGATTCAGAATCAAGAAAAGTGATGAACTATCAAGAGCACTGTGGCAAAGTGTGTGCAAGGGTGCGAAGCCAAGAATAGTGGCAAAGTAAGCAAGGTGTGTGAATATGTGTATACCCATAAACAGGTGAAACAAAGCTTGTTTTAGGCATACAAAAAGAGAAATTCGAAACACAGACAAGAATGGAAGTATATGAATATGTTTAAACGTGACCAATAAGCAGAGGCAATAAAATGTGAAACAAGAAATTGAAACAAAGGAAGGAACAGTGACTTAACGAAGAAAATGAGGCCGGTGTGAAATACGCCGGTGTCGAACTGTGAAAATAAGAAAAGAAATGCAGCAAAAGCCTCGCTGAAAGGAGAAATTGAAGGTGGTTGCAGAAAGCTTTACGAGAGCAACAATGATGGATTTTGAAGGGTAGAGAAAGAGAGTTAGCACAAGGTTGAGGATGCAAAAGTGAAAAGACAGAGAGAGAGAAGTGGTTTTGATCAAAACCACGAAATGGCGGCAAAATTACCATCAATATGCCTAGGACGACGTGCTTGTTAGACGGCGCACGCAGACGCAAGGTGACCTAAAGGCGCGTGTCAAGTACGAACCAGTGAGGGAAAGACGCGTGGCAAAAACAGTTGAAATACTGTGCGTGACAGCTTATACGCATGATAAAACTCTTGGAGTTCTTGGTTTAATGAAGCAAAGACCTCGGCTAAGGAGGCGATCTCGTCTTAATGAACTTGAACGAGCTTGGTTGTTGGTTCCGAAGCATTGATGAAAGTAGACTATAGGTCTTGGTCATATTGAGCCGACGAGTTATGACTTCGACATGAAGGATAAATCGAGCTTAGCCGATGTGCTAAATGGAAGAAATGGTATAGGTTCCATCACCTCAGGATGCCGAGGTAATAGAACCTAGGGGGCAGTTGTGGGGACATAATTTTTGAATGATAACACGTGGCCGAGGTGTCACTGAAGTGTCAGCCGAGGTGCCACGTGTCCTGGACATGATGCCGAGGTAATCTCGGCTAGACCGAGGTTATCTGCGAGAATATCGGAATCCGAGATAAGCAGATAAGGGACAAGAGTCCTAGATTGGGAGAGGACTTCAGTTTGGGTAAAGATAAGACTCTTAGGCCCCGTTTGTTTCCAGAGATGGAATGGAGGGGATTGATAGTGAGAGGATTAATAGTGAGAGGATTGTTAGTGAGGGTCGTTTGTTTTCAGAGATAGAATGGAGGGGATTGATAGTGAGGGGATTCATAATGAGGGGATTGTTAGTGAGGGGATTGATAGTGAGGGGATTAGTAGTGAGGGGATTGATAGTGAGGGGATTAGTAGTGAGGAATTGTTAAATTATTTTTATATAAAATAATAAAACAAATAAAAAAATATAAAAAATTAAAAATTATATTTTAAAAAAAATTTCCAATATATAAAAAATAAAAAAAATAAAAAAATTTCTAATCCCCTCACTATTTTTCTAATACCATCTCTACCTCCTCACTATGAATCCCCTCCCCAAGGGTATTAGTAATACCAAGGTATTAGTAATACCCTCCCTATCTCTCAAAACAAACAAGGTATTAGTAATACCAAGGTATTAGTTAGTCCCAAGGTATTAATAGTCCCAAGGCTATCTCTCAAAACAAACACCCCATATACTAATCCCAAGGTACTAGTAATCCTAATCCCCTTGCTATAACCCAAAACAAACGGGGCCTTAGAGAGTTTATCCTAATCCTATTGGGAATTCAAGATTTGCAGCAATCCTAAGTCCATTGAAATTAGGCTTTTATTGGGATTAGGTTTGTGTTGACTATAAAAGAGAGGCACCCCCATTGGTCTAAGGTACGCTTTTTGTATCCTAAATAGTAAGTTAAGCACTTTTGCTATCTTTGAGAGATAACTGACTTGATTGTTGGAGTGCCCCCGGGTGGACGAACCACCGCCGGAATCTCTTCTTTTTGTGACAGGTCGTTCAGGCTTAATCTATTCTGCCAGTGTTTCTCCAGCTGAGTTCCAATTTGGCAGTGTGGTCAGAAATCGACTCACACACAAGTATATACCATATACATTTGCACAAGTTCTTATAAATATAAGTAAGTTCTCACAAATATACGTAAGTTACCTCACAAAATCGCGTAAATTTTCACAAATATACATAAGTTTAACTCATAAAAATTTGAGAGATCACAACTTACGTATATTTATGAGAATTTAAAATTTTTTATAAAATAACTTATATATATATATATATATATATGTATGAGAACTTCCGTAAATAGATATAGGATGCATCTTTCATGCTCAAAACACTTCCCTAATTTGCTTCCTTATCCAGATCTACGGGAGTGATTTTTATGTGTAGTACCCAAAACTCACATTTTTGTTCCTTGAAAATTACAAAGATCTCCAATTTCCAAGTTTATGCTGATAATCAAGTTTCTCAAATTAAATTTTGCATCATGTACATATACGGAAAACACACAACTCACTTATATGAACTTTTGACACATTATTTTAATTCTAAAAAAATCATAACATTATATTTTTTTTTCCAAATATTTGTGTTTACTTTACACTTATTATAAGGACTAAAAGTAAATCAACTGGTCCACTACTCAACACATGCTCTCGCCCTCTCTCCACTCTTATTTACCAATGATCTCTCTATTCATTAATAAAATAAAATAAATAAATCGTGGTTTGAGTATGTGAAATTCACCATAGTCTCATTTTGATCATTGAGGCCCTGTTTGGCAACCGAACTTTTTAGTCAAAAAGTTAAAAAGTTATTAAATTAGTCAAAAAGCAAACAATCCATACCAAAAAGTCAAGATTCTCTTTTCTCTCTACTTTTTGCACATTTTTTGTAAAAAGTCAAAAAGTCATCCCAAACATACTATTTTTTTTAGCTCATATTTTAGCCAAATAGTCAAAAAGTTACTAAATTAGCCTGTTCCCAAACAAGGCCTCAGATTCTTCATTTTGTCGGGTATTTCATATATTTTATCCACATTAAAAATTAAGTCGATTTAATAATCATAATTTATTCAATTTATTGTGCTTTTGTCACAAAAAAATGGATGACAATCGTGTTTTTTTAAAATAAAGATCCATTTTTTTGGGATAACAAACGTGATAAATTGATTATGTTACAATTATCGGATCGACTTAATTATTATATAAATAAAATACACAAAGTGTTCAAAAAAAAAGAAGAATTATTCAAATTATCGAAACGGAATTCGTAGTGGGCCTTACGGTCCTAAACAACACCATCCAATAGGGAGTGTTCAAAATAACTAGAGAATCGAAGAACCGAACCAAATTGACCTCTTTGGTTTTGGGTCTTCAAATTGGTCTGGTTTGGTTTTTTAGTGCATTGGTTTGGTTCCGGATCTTCAAATTGTCAAACCGATAGGATTTGATTGATTTTTGGTTTAGGCCTTATCTAAACAGAACCAACCTGAGAATCGAACCTATACATATATATATATATATATATTTTAATTTTTTTTTATTATATTGACATGTTTTTATATTACCAGTCTTATATGTTACTTCAAATTCCTATTTTCATGAAGTCTGTGCAATTGAACAAATTTTGAATGATTGGTCTAAGAGTAATAAAGGTAAATAATTTAGCTTATTGATAAGGCAAATGGTTTAGTGTGGAGAATAAGAGAACTCATGAACCGTATATATGTGTATTATGAAATGTTAGACTCTACTTCAAGTTCTTCTTTAAATAGGATGAGTCAAAATTCAAATAAAATGGAAGTTGATAAGCCCATGATAATAGTTGTGGTGATATTGTGAAATCTC